TTCCCAACCTCTTTTGAGTTATGTATGGCTATATGTCTGAATTCCGCCCAATGGGATGTAAGATGAACAATATCAAGACATGTTCTGAAGAGGAAACAATGTTTCTCATTTATTTATTTTTCTTTTTCTAACTGGCTGAAATATAAGCATGCTGACTGGAGAGGAAGCAGCTGATTAGGCCCAAACGGTAGGCATTTTAGAGGTAGTGAAGCAAAAAATTAGAAGGTAATTGAACTTCTGGCAATGATGTCAATCATGCCACTTGAGACTACTTTCATATAGACTAAGCTTACCTATGAGAGAAATAACTTCCATCTTTTTTTAAGTTTCTGTTTTTGGGGTTTTTCTGTCACTCCCATTTGACTCTGATCTTAACTAATACAAAAACATAAAGAAAAATGAAGCAGAGTAAGGGACTAGAGAGTGGCACAGTGTGATATTTTAGACAGGGTGACTGGGAAAGGATTTTATGAAGAACTGATATTTGAGCAGAGTCCAGAATGCACGAGAGAATGAGCCGTGTGGGTAGGGGGAAAGCATGTTCTGGGAAATGGGAAATAGTAAGAAGAATAGCCCAGAGAAGGAAACATGCTTTTGTGTTCAAAGACCAGCAAGAAGGCCAACATGGCCTACCTTTCAAACTTCTTTTTTTTCTTTTTTTCCTTTTTGTCTTTTTTCGTGTCCGGCAACAGATCGCAACCCTCAGTGTCGCACCCATACCAGACCAGGACCGGCAACGGGATCGCAACCCTCAGTGTTGCTCCCACACCTCGCTCAGCCAGTGAGCGGGAACCGGTCTGTATGTGGGATCCGAACCCTCGGCGGGAGCGCCACCGTGCTCCCAAGCAGCACTTCTTTTTTTTCTTTTTTTCCTTTTTGTCTTTTTTCGTGTCCGGCAACAGATCGCAACCCTCAGTGTCGCACCCATACCAGACCAGGACCGGCAACGGGATCGCAACCCTCAGTGTTGCTCCCACACCTCGCTCAGCCAGTGAGCGGGAACCGGTCTGTATGTGGGATCCGAACCCTCGGCGGGAGCGCCACCGTGCTCCCAAGCAGCACTTCTTTTTTTTCTTTTTTTCCTTTTTGTCTTTTTTCGTGTCCGGCAACAGATCGCAACCCTCAGTGTCGCACCCATACCAGACCAGGACCGGCAACGGGATCGCAACCCTCAGTGTTGCTCCCACACCTCGCTCAGCCAGTGAGCGGGAACCGGTCTGTATGTGGGATCCGAACCCTCGGCGGGAGCGCCACCGCGCTCCCAAGCGGCGCACTGCAGCAGTGCACCACCGGGCCGGCCCTCAAACTTCTTATCCTAACATTCCACAAACAGAAATTCTTGACTCCAGACCTCATAGAGATTGGTCAACTTTGCAAGATCTTGTTTCCATGCGGTCTCTTCAAAAAGCGAGGCCCAGTTATGACCCTAAGCTTTTACTCAGCTTTGTGGCTCAACCACTAACGGCCTATTTCAAAATGGTCCCCTATTTCATTCAAACATACCCGTTTTTCTGAACCTAGCATAAGTTCTCACTCCTGCTTAAGGCCTGGCTCTCCTGATCCACCCACATTGCTTTTTTATAAGTCTCCATATATATTATTGCTTGTACTGTTCATTTTAATTATGAATAATCTATCATTCCGTTCTAATTCATGTATGCATCTCCTTCTGCCTCAATTAAGATGTAGCATAAGAGCTATGTCCTAAAAAGTTTTAAGAAATCCCTTTGGCTACTATCTCTTCAAACAAAAGTTGCTCATAAAAAATTTCTGCATATCCAATGAATGAGTATTTTATTCAACCATCTCACAAACCAGAAACACAATGGAGAGAACCTAATCTTTCCCTGTTCCTCCCTTTGGCCAGGAAGATATGAGTAGCTAAAGTATTTGGTGCTATATATAGTCAGTTGATGTCAGCTGGATGCCAGTCTCTTCAGAAAGGCTCAGTCCCCAGTTTCAGTCAGAACTAGGGACCATGCCGTCCCAGGTTCAAGGATAAAAACCATCGGGCCCAAGTGCCATCCATATTCCATCTCCAGAGTCTTCTTCCACAAATTGGTATTCATCCCTGCTGAAAAACACAGCCTAACATCAAGGTGAGTATATTGCTTCCTAAAATGTTTTATTAGTCAGTTGTCCAAAGGGATTCCTAGTTGTGACTCATAAATGGGCATTCTTTTCATTAAAGGACAGCTGTTGATGCCAGTATTAAAATACCACCACCACCAAAGAATTCTGGTTTAAGCTGGTGTCTCTTCATTCTTACAGTTTGCTGGAATTGATGTACTGTGATGCTGTGCAAATGAAGTCCAGTAAAGAAACCATGACAGATTGAAATAAACTGTGGAAGAGAGAGAGGAAGGGGAAAGGAGGCTAGCTCTTTCATTGTTTCTCACTGCCTGTTGATCATTGTACTAATGTACAAATAGGATGGAGTATGAAACTCCGAGTATCATCTTCAGTTCATTGTGACACTGCCTGTCAATGAATAACATGCTCTGTCACCAGACAAAGAATGCATATTAAAGTCTTTCAGTCGAAAGAAATAAGAAATTCATAATAAAGAACAAAGATGTTCTCTCTCAAAAGGATGATTACAAAACACTCCAAATGAGTTCTCCACATTACCAATGATGTCCTTTTATTTCTAACAGGGAACAAAAAACCATGCTATCACATAATGCCATGGTGAAGGAGAAGAAACAGCAAGCATCAGCCATCATGAAGGAAATCCATGGAAATGGTATCAATAAAAATCCTTTATAGTGTTTATGTAGCTCAGCTTTAACGTTGATCCTTCCTGACTTTATTTAATATTCTATAGTTTACTTCCTTTAAGTTCTTGCTGTTCTGTCATAAACCTGAAGCTCCAGGGGGTGCAGATAAGCCTATGGTAACTAATCCTCTTGTAGTCATCCTTTTTCATTTGAAAGCTATTTTCAGATGAACAACTGCTATAAAAGGAATGAAGCAATCTGACAGCTGATGTACATTCTACTTAGCTTGCCATTCACATTATAAGTTAATATCACTCCCAATTCTTTTTTTTTTTTTTTTTTTTTTGGGCAGGTTTCAAAAAATCCCTTCCTTTTTTTCCCCCCCCCATTTTTTTTTTTTTTTTTTTTTTTTTGGACAGGTCTCATAGAATCCTGTCCTTATTGTCCACCCCACATTGTTTATCTTGATTTCTTTTACCTTATGTTAATTACACAAATCATTCAAAATACATTCTATCATCACCTCCCCTTTTTAAAACAAAAGCTGTTGCTTAAGTTGCAATTCATATTCACTGCTTATTTGTTTAACCCCAAAACCAATCTTCATATTTAGTCATTGATTTGCTAACATATTTTGTGTGAAAAATCTACTTTTATTTATAATTTGGGGGTAAATATAGAGAAAGTTCTTGCAGTCTCAAAGCATATGATTCAAAAAATTTTAATATATACAAGTATTAAATGCAAGATAATTTTCCACTCTCTCCTTTTCTCTAAATTCTGGTAAGTAACTCTAGAAAGTAATGCTTTATACTTTGCATTTTGGTTATTATAAAGGAAATTCAACTTCATTCATGAACAGAGGATAGCATCAATTTTAAAAGTTAAGCTGAAGATCCAGATTATTTTAAGGACCGATTTAGCCCATTCCAGGTATATTTGTAAAATTTTCAGAATGTCTACTTATTTTCCCTCTATTGTCAAGGAATACAGCCTTTCACCATAACAATATTGAGACCTGGAGGCATGAGTCCAGGTGGGGACAACTGGGAATGGAGTTGAGTATAGAGTTTTCACATTTTACCTTCCATAAAGCAAACAGAACCAGTGAGAGACTTTCAGATACTCCCACAACAATGTAATCATATCTAAAGGATATTATGTTTTCTACTTTCTGCAATACAAAATCACTGTACTGTACTCAACTTGATTCTCATATTTTACTATGATGTCAAATTAGTTTGGAATAAAACGAGAATAATTTTGAACCAGATATCAGAATTGAATTTGTACCAATTCAAAGTTCCAAAATTCATGCTTATTTTAAATTTTTATGCATCTTTGTATTTCCTGCCTCAGGTAGTTTACTTGAAATTGTATAGTTTTCCTGATCAAAAAGGTGAAAATCAGATAATCACTTGAGTTTGAGACTAAATTGTTGACCTTAAAACTAGACTTTGGAAAAGTTATCATCTTCTAATTGTATCATAATAATAAATCAATCAATTCACTTAATGTATCCCCAGTCTAAATCATATGTTGGAGTCTACTCTGTGCTATCCCTGACATAGACCTTTAAGAGTAAAAATGTCTTTTTTCCTTTTCTATAAACATAATTATTGTCTTAATGAAATATAAAGAAAAAAATCAATTATCTCCCAAAGGAGGGAAAAGACTTCAGAGACTGCCTCACCACCAGTAAATTCTAGCCATGTAAAGTCTGCTGAAGCCCTCTCTCCTACCACACTGGATGAGTTCCAGCTTCCTTAAGAGGCGTCACATGCTCTGCCTTTGTTTGGTTGTCAAGCATTCCAGATAATGCAGAAATAATCAGACTCTTTCTTAACATCCCAGATAAAATAGCTGTAGTACTTCACGAAACAGTTCAAATATTTAATTTTCCTCTCTTATTTTATCTAATATCTCATATTGTACTTTACTATTTGTATACCACATGGCATTGAGAGATCTGGAGCTAGGAAATTATTTTTTTAAGGATGCAGAAATAAGACATAGATTTCAGAGAAACCTTTTTGGGAATAATTTTCCAAACGTTCAAATACTTCACAGCAGTAAAAATCTGGATAATTTAAGATAAATCATGCAACTATTTCAATCTTAATTATAAGACTAAATAAATCAAATTTGGGCTTTTAAAAAGTGAATAGAGAAGGGTGTTTTCAAATCCTTTCTCCTACATCCTCCGCCCATTGTGCATCAGCTTTTTTTGTGCAGTATTATAACTGATTTTATTCATTATCACTTTCCAAAAACATTTACCTGGAGGAGAATAAAATGTGACAATAAGTTGGCTAAACCAGTTGTCCTCTAAACATGAGGTGGAAATTCAGTCCAGTTCTTGTAGGGGAGAGAGTTTTTGAGATGAGTCTGTAAGAAAATATAAAAACCAAAAAGGGAAAATTATATATCAGAGCACTCATTCCGTCAGAAAAAGAAATAACCTCAAAGAATTACTGAAAAATTCTGTCCATATAGGTTACAGTCCTAAATGAATAGAATGAGTAAAAAAAGGTGGATAACTCCCAGCCTCTATACCCTAAATCATTGCTCAGCATGGATCCATTATGACTCGGGATTAAATTATGTACCAGAAGCAAATATACCACATTCCCAACAAACAACTAATAAAAATCGTCCCCTAGAACTAAGGCTGCCTACTCTCAGATCAGTCTTCCCCCTCATCACATCACAGTTCTGATCATCACCGTCATCATCATATTGGAGAAGCAGAGCTGATGGTGAAGCTGTTCTGTGTTACTATTGTGATACAAACCTCTGTGCTTTATACAAAAGTACCTCAGCCACAGCTACCATCTAACAAGTGCTATTGTAAAAGACAGACAAAAACACAAAAAAATACTTTGCCACTGTCTGTGCATGAATTAATTGTGGGACAAGAAAAGATGGCCATAACAGTCCCCTGCCCATCAGTCCTGTGCAGTTTACCTCTGAATCTTCACATAATTTCCATTATGAATCAGGTTCTTCTCTCACTCAGTAACATCTGAAACTTGAAGACTGAAGAAAGAGAGAGGGATAGGGAAGGATAAAAGGATAGGAAGTAGTAAATTGATAGAGAAAGAGACGGGGCAATCAGAATGGAATAAGGAGAGGCACTCTAGAGCAATTGGCATCTGTTTAGAACTGGTGAAGAAAAGGAATTGGAATTAAAATAATCATAACACCTGGGAGTATGATGTTCCCTGATTTTAAGCACAGATATTGCTGACAATTGAGAATAGGAGTTTCATAAATAAGAAAGACAACAGTGCCTCATAAGGCTGTTTTAGTCACCCTACAGTTTTCTCACCTGGGCTCCAGAAGGGCTTTTTTTCTATGTTTTTTGTTTGATTTTTTTTTTCTCCTCATGACTGGCAAACAGCTTTTCCCAGCACACAGAAAAGAACTGGGCAGATTATTTTTGCAATTTCAGGAAGAGAGCTTAGCTTTGTGGTTTGAAAACAGGAAGCCCAGTTTCTAAATGGAGTGCTATTGTTGACACAGTACCAAGAGCCTTGGGTTCCAGACTAGACATCAGATTCCTCATCAGAAAATGAGGAAGGTTGAAGCCATTGATATATCTAATTCTAAAATTTCATCATTTAATTTACCGAGCCATGCACTGAAGTCAAACATTAGTGTATTTGAGTTTCCCCACCAGTAACAAAGAAAATGACAATATTGACATAAATTGTAAGGACCCTTTGAAAAAGTGCAGAGTATAAAGTCTAGAATTTCAGATGATTGATTATTTGAAGAACCTTTTGCTTTTCCCATACAAGCATATTTTAAACTGTAATTAGTCAAATCTTCAACATCAAAATAAGTATGCCAGGAAAGCCTTAAAAACTTCATATCAAATATAAAAAGTTTGGGGAAGAAAAAAAACTTACTTAACGGCACGAGTTTGTTAGTTCTCTTTTGTTTGGTTTGACTTTTCCAATTAGCATTCTCATAACCCCAAGAAAAACCAGAGCTTGGAAAGTGCATGTTTTCTTATGAAAACTGGTATGCAGTCATGTCTTGTGAATTCTCAGATTTTCTGAACATCTGACCTCTAACAAGGCCCTCCAGAAAATAAGTACCAGAGAACTAAGCTAAATTGTATTTTACACCAAAGTTGAAATTGCAGAGTTTAATTCTAGCCATATTATTCCATCATCCTAGTTTTCATTGATGCTTTTTTCATTATAGTATGCTCTAGATGTACACACTGTACATAGTACTAGGTGATTCTGTTTGTGTAATTCAATTTGAGTAACTTAATGTATTGGTAATGTTCATAGATTTATACAGCTCTTAAATGATAATATTTCCATTAATGACAAATTTTTGAAAACTTTATAAAATAGTCTAGCAAATCAAGACAAAGATGTAAGAAACAGGAAAATAAAAGAGTCCCACATGGTTTTCGAAATCAACTTTTTTATGTAGAAAATTATCAATAAACTCTTTATCAGTTGTAGTCTTTTCAAGTATTATCCAAGATCACAGTCTGGACTATAACCTTTTACATATATGAACTTTATGAAGTACCCATATATATATGCGTTATTACAGACTATTATTATTTTATGGACTATTATTTATTCCATACAGGCCAACAGTCTATAACTAGGCAGAAGAGTCCTGAGCAAAGGTAAATAAAATTTCTTTGCCTCAATAACCCTTCTAAATAAAAAAATAAGCCCACCCTAAAGCAAATAAGCTAGCTCCCCTTCCAGTGGTTTTACCATTCTGTCAGAATTACAGGTGCCAGTCAGTCATGGGGAAACTTTTTTAAAAAAATATTGTCTATTTTACTACAATCACTTTTAAGTGGGTATCTTTACATACTATGGATTGGATTCAATGATCTAATGAAGTTCTGGATCACTATAAGTGACACCAATAGGAAAGTATGCCTAGCAATATTATTTTCAATAGATGACCTAATGCCACAAAGACAACCTTCTAAGCCATGAGGGCAAGGATATGTATCCTGAAAGTGACATATCATTTATCAGGCATCAAGATTAAACACACTGCTAAGACCCTGTGCAGGGGTTTGAAGTAAAGGGCAGAGAACAGCTGAACTTGGAATCTATGTGCTCACGTGACAGCATTCTTCACTCTGGAACTTTAAGTAATGAGAGTGATCATACATTAGATTCCCCAACTCACAAATGATCCTGGAAATCCTGCTCCAGTGACATTGTAAATTTAATAATTAGAAGGAAAGGAAAGGAAACCTCAGAGAATTTAGTTTATGTCTTTTGTTGTTTGTTTATGCAAAATATCTTGACAACATACTTCTGACATTGATGGATGTGTCCAGTGGTATGCTAGTAAATATTTAACAACTGGTTCTCTGGGTGGAGGGGGGATGGGGAGGGAAATGTCTTGCTTTGTAGAGTTTGCCAATTCTGTGGTATAAGTACTCCCACCATGGTCAATTTCAAGCTCCCATCAAAGAGCACTAAATGCAACATTAAATAGTATTTTCACCATACAGATACAATAGATATAAATAACCTCAAGAGCATAGATAACTGCAAAAAGTAGTTTAAAAAATTATGAGTGGATACTTTTTGAATGTTTACTGCTTCATTTTTAATGTGATTTATTTAAGTATTAAGTTTATATAATTTAGTTCTAATAATGGTGTACTCACTGTGTTTAACTACTGACTTAAAGAATTTTTGAAAATTTTTCAGTCCACTCTTGTGAACCAGTACAAGCTCTCTCCAGCACACCACTAGATTTATCATCCAGTGCTTCTGGCCCTTGTCATCCAAAATACCTTTGGACAGTCACTCTAAGCAAATTAACTCACTGTCTATTGCCTACGGAGTAGGAGGAAGAAAACTCAGGCTTAAAGGAGATGAAACGAAGTATGAAGAATAAGAAGAGAGGTTTAGAGTTGGTCAATTATTTTGTGTGCCTTCTCCTTCTATTCCCTTTTGTCTCTTATTTCTCCTCTCTGTTGGCATAAATTTACTAGTAATTGTGGATTGCATCAACTGATTATTTCTTTGTATGTCTGGCCATCAAGGACAAGTAAGTTTCCCACAACTCCTGTGGCACTTCTATTTCTTGTAGCAGCTTGAACGATGGATGTAATGCTTTGCGAAAGAGGAGTGAATGTTTCTTATGAGCCCAAATGAACTAGTGGCCAAGGATATAACTATTTGTTTCTACCTCTGCTCTCCTCTCTTTTCTTTCTGAGGACTCCACTACTGGGCTTCTACGCCAGCCTTCTTCACCTTTCCTTGTGGCTCCAATCTTAATACTTTACGGACCTGTATCAGTGAAAACAATCTTAATACTTTTTGGACCTGGATCAGTGAGATAATAGAAAGTCAGAACCCAAGTAGCTTAAACAATAAAAAAATATTACTGTATCACATAACTGAAAAGTTCAGAGGTGATCTGAGGTGATCCAACAGCACAGGTTTGCCACCAAGGACTGTTTTTTTTTTCCTCTGATCTCTTTGAGCTAATATTCAGCCCAAGTCTGTCTCTATCATTCTACCAAGTAATTGCCAGCAGTCTTCCAGGCAATATACAGTATTTTCTCATTTATATCCAGCAGGAAAAGAGAGCAAAAGGCAGGACATTTGCAGGAAAAGTCCTGATAGTCGCTCTCATTGGCCTAGGTTAGGTCACATACCTGTTCCTGAATCAACTGCAAAAGTGATTAATTCCCAGAAGACTGTTGTAAATCTCAGGGGCCAGAGTGATGAAATTCATTTAGGTCACATGGTTAGTTCAGAACTGTTGGTGAAGTCACTAACATACTTTTGTTGGGAAGATAAAAATGAGATAAAAAACCTTTCCTCAAATTTTTGTCTTGGGGCACCAAAATTAAACTTATTCCATAACTTGAAATTTAGAACTTCTAGAAATCAACATAATATGTTATTCCTACTTTCTGGTGCTATTGTCATTTAACTGTTTATAATGACTCAAGTTGTTCCAAATGATAACAAAAAGGAGGAGGAGGAGAAGAAAAGTTGCATTCCTGTTTGGGTTTCCTTCTTGAAAATCTTTGTAACTTTAATTTTAAGGAGAAAGATTCTGCTGATTATGAGAACTGCCATCTCTGCATTATCTAGGGGTTGCCTACTTGGGAGTGTTTTCTATTTCCTGAAAATATCCCATTACAAATGTTTTTCAGGAAAAAACTAAATTTGCTTAAAAACATTATTTGTGATATGTAATTATATTGACACAGAATGGTAATTCTAGAAAAGTTTTGATGGACAAAAATCTGTGGGTTTCAATTTTTTGTGTTAACATTCTGTCTTCTCTGTCTGTCTCTCTCTCTCTGTCTGTTTGCTAATTGAATCCTTTTCAGATTCATTTAGAGGCAAATGCCCCCTTCTCCTCCTAGTATTATACCAAATTCTATGAGCAATTCTGTGTCTCTTCTATCTTTTGTGATCTAAAGGGCACTTGCTATTTTGATTCCAGAAT